CGTCTGATAGCCATTTACATATTGTGGTTTATTCCTGGATTTCTTTCGGTTTATTCCTGGATTTATTCTTATTTCGCTTTCTTATCGCTTTGTGGCCCACATGTGATAAGGTCCTTAGTCTTCTTCTGATTTCCTGACTGCACTCCCCATTTCTATCAATGGTTGATCCCAGGTGATGGGAATTCTTTGACTATTTCTATTTCTTCGCTGTCTAGGCTGAACTTGTGAAGGTCTTCGGTGGCCATTATTTTTGTTTTCTTTTCATTAAGCCTGCCTTTGCCCTTTCTTCTTGGACCTTCCTTAGTAGTTGTTCCAGGTCTGTGAGGTTTTTTGCTAGTATTATGGTGTCATCTGCATATCTCAGACTGTTGATATTCCTTCCTCCTATTTCCACTCCTCCTTCTTCTGTGTCCAAGCCTGCTTTCCTTACAATCTGTTCTGCGTAAAGGTTGGATAGGTAGGGTGTTAGGATGCAGCCTTGTCTGACCTCTTTTCTATGGCAGCACAAAGGTGAGTCTGGGATGGGGGTCATTGCAGAGGATGAGAATGCCAACCTCTGCAATCACTAAAAAAGACACACACACATACACAAGCCATCATATTCCCTATTACTATGGATGGATGTGAGAGCTGGATGGTTAAGAAGAAGGATAGGAAGAAAACCAATGCATTTGAGAGAATGTGTTTCTGGAGAAGAGTGCTGAGGATCCCATGGAGAGCCAAAAGGACAAACAAAAGGGTCCTAGAGAAGATCAAGCCAGAGAGATCCCTAGAAGCCAAGAGGACAAGACATAGGGGGGATGCAGACCGGTGGCCATGGGCCGCCTTGAGAAGCGGTGGATTGGGGCCAAAGCTGCCCCACGCCTCGGCCCCAATCCACTCTTCTGCTGGCCCAGGAAGGAGTGCTAAAATACCACTCCTTCTTCAAGGCGCAGAAAGGACGCCGGAAGAGGCGGCGCACCCCTCTTTTGCGTCTCTTCCGTTGCAGTGTGTCCAGAAGCTGTGACAGAAGGACGTCATCGGAGAGCTCGCCGTGTGCAACAGCAGGCGTTCCGATGATGTCCTTGTGAAAGGATTGGGGCACCCGGTGTCTGGCATCCGTCTGTTCCTCCCCTCCCCTCCCCTGCGTCCAAGACAACGCAAAGCGCAGTCTGTAGAGGCCCTTAGACTGTTGTATTTGGAGACATTATGAGAAGGCATGAATCATTGGAAAAGAGAATAATGTTGAGAAAGATGGAGGGAAGTAGAAAGAGAGGAAGGAGGCCACATGCCAGATGGATGGACTTTATTAAAGAGACCACGAATATGAGTTTGCAGAAAGGAGAGGATGGGGGGGGCCTGGAGGTGGATCATCAATAGGGTCACTGCCGTGAGTCGAGACCGACACAAAGGCAGTTAACAAAAAAACCAATTCAATCCAATGCATCACCAGTGGAGTAGTGGAGAACAAACCCTGAATAACACTGTATGAGGAGGATCAGGATGGCCTCTGCAAATTGTCCCATAAAGCTTGCCGCCTTGGCTTGTTATGCCAACTTCCACAGATTGTTGCTCCCAACTGGTGCCAAGATCTCATCTTGGCATCAGACTGTACTTATCATCATCCCCACATGCTCCTCGTGGCCATGAAATGAAGGGAGGAACTGGTACCATCCATCTGCTAAGATGCATTCCTAACCTATTAGGCATAAATACAGATAATCGGCTGTCAGAATAAGTGTTATTAATTCGTTTGTTTACACGTACGCATTTGGCACAGGGGCCATCCATCCATTGGAAGCATGCCTCCAGCAAACCAGAGGAGTTATCAATAGGGATGCAAGAGTGAATGTAGTCCAGAGGGATGTCTGTCTTATCTATCTGAAACAACATTAAAGACACAACTCTTCTGGCAGGCTTACCCGGTCCATTTTAAAGCATGACTTTTTCACTGGTATATCTTCAGGAATGCATTATACGAGTGTGTTTTAATGGTTCTTTTAGTGTTGTATTTTTAACTGTTGGTTTTATGTGTTTTCTTTTTTTAATTGTGTTTTGCATTTGAACATGTCGCACCTGCTTGAGGGGAGGTGGGAAAGAAATAATAGTTGTAATAATAATAATAATAATAATAATAATAATAATAATAATAATAATCCCCTTGGTGAAGACCAGAAAATCTGACAAGGTGCTGCAGATCCTCATCTCAGAGTACCTCCATTCTTGCATTTCTGGGCTCCCAACAACTGGTTGGACATGTGAGTTGCTTGGGTGGCAGCGATTTGCTTTAGGTAGAAGCTTGCATTTTCAAAATACAGTCCCTCTTATGCAAAATTCTGAAATATTCCAAAATCCAAAATTGTCCAAACAGGTGGCTGAGATAGTGGCACCTTTGCTTTCTGATGATCCAGTGTACACAAACTTTGTTTCAGGCACAATAAAAAATATTGTGTATAAAATTACGTACCTTCAGGCTATGTGTACAAGGTGCATATGAAACATAAATGAATTTCATGATTTCATGTTCAGACTTGAGTCTAGAATCATAGAATCCCAGAGTTGGAAGAGACCCCAAGGGTCATCTAATCCATCCTCATTCTGCCATGCAAGAAGACACTATCCAAGCAATCCCTGGGACTAATAGCCATCCAAACTCTTTCAAAGGAGACTCCACTACTCTCTGAGGAAGCGTATCTCATTGTGTAGATGCAAATATTCCAAACTTCCAAAAAACTCCAAAATCCCAAATGCTTCTGGTTCCAAGCATTTCGGACAAGGAAGACTCAACCTGTACTTGTAAGTTTTGCTTGCTATCTAGTAAATCTGTTGCACCTTTCACCCACTGGTGAATTTATTCATATCCTAAAAGAGCCAGCCCTGTTTGGTGTTGCACTGTCTCTTGTTACCTCACAAGGGTTTGCCATCTACAACATCATCCATACGTCTCAGGCCCTGAAATGTCAGGCCTTGGGATAGTCCTCCACAACAACCCAAACCTTGCAAATACAAATGGGAAGGTGCATCTACACTTCAGAAATAATGCAGCTTGACACCACTTGAACTACCATGCCTCCATCTTACAGAATCCTGGGATTTGTAGTTCTGCGAAGCACAAACACTCTTGGGCAGAGAACGCTAAAGATCATGCAAAACTACAAATCCCAGAAATCCATAGGATGGAGCTACAGCAGTTAAAGTAGTGTCAAACTGCTGCATTATTTCTACAGAGTAGATGCAGCCAATGTCTATCCACCTGTAAAGCAATATTCCTCTTTTTTCTGCTATCTTTCATCTGTCGGGGATGGTTTGATTGTGAGTTCCTGCATGGCAGAATGGGGTTGGACTGGATGGCCCTTGGGGGTATCATCCAATTCTATGATTCTATGATTCACTTTTCCCAGCTTTATTATTCCTCCTCTAAAGAGAAACTACCAATGTCTGTTGCTAAATCCCAGCATATCCACACCTTCTCTAAGCACCAGCCCTTATTAATAGGATTCAGAGACCGCATAGACCAGAACTCCCCGACCTGAGCAACAAGGCCCTGTTATGCCTAAACCAAAGCCATTAAAGAGAACGGTAACGTTTATTTTGTAGGAAGATTTAGTGGCGGGGTGATCAAGCATCTTTCCCAAATCCTGGTGCTCCAACTCTCAGCATGCCAGTCTAGTGTGTGTGTGTGTGTGTGTGTGTGTGTGTGTGTGTGTGTGTGTGTGTGTATGTTGTTTGCCTTCAAGTTATTTCTCTGACTTACGGCAACCCTAAGTCAAACCTATCATGGGGTTTTCTTGGCAAGGTTTAGACTAGCTAGGAAAGCTGTTAAATTTGGAAGAAGAGCAAGAGAGCTGATAGTCTATCTCCCAAAATGGAACAATGAAGGACAGCAGACGGTCCAGTTTTGGGGACAGTAAATTCTGTGCACACTAGCAGCTGGACCAACATGGCAAGGAAAGAGGAGCATGGCATCACGATGGATGGCAGCCATTCTTCCTGCCAGCCTCCTCCTCATTCTTCCTCCCCTTCTATGGAATATATAGGACCATCTGGCCAAGATGCTTCCCAGCCGCTGGCTTTGGGTAACCCTACAGCTTCTCCATGTTGTGGCTGGGATTTGATTTGGGCTGGAGAGATGCAGAGGCGTCCATCACCGTCAGGGTGAGATAAAAACCTCTCTTTAAAGGCAGATGAAGGCAGCTGTTTTCCAAGAGATTGGGGTTTTCTGGAGTTCCAAGGAATCTGCATCCCTTGAAATGACCCCAGATAGCCGGACAACCCATGATAAGGAGCCTTGGTCTTCTGACCAAAAGTCTTGCTGAACTTGGATCTTGTTTTGCTCAGCTCTGCAAATTCCTTTTGCTGGGGAGAATGCACCAAATCTTACTGGGTTTAGGCTTCTCCGTTTGCTCCCGCAGAGCCTTCAGAGTCCCATTTTCTCGAGACTTCCTAGTGAAAGGCTGAGAAAACTGGGCAGAGCAAACCCACTCCGTTGCCCAAGGAGGAGAGTTTTCCAGAGGTTGGAGAAGATGCTGGTTTGGGCCAAAGTTTCCAGAACCACTCATTCTGCAGAGGCAGGGGAGTCCTTGGCACTGTCCCCAAAAAGCACCTTCTCCATGCTCTGAGATGGACTGGCAGCCTAGAACGGCCTTCTTCCCAGCTCAGGAACCTGTTTTAATTTTCAAATTAGGATGATGAACATCCTTAACTGATGCCAGTTGCAGTTGCCCAAATTGAAGCTGCATCCACACTTCAGACTTCAGCAATGCAGTTTTACTCTGCCTTTACTGCCATGGTGCAACGCTGTGGGACTGGTAGTTTTGTGAGATATTTATCCTTCTCTGTCAGAGAGCTCTGGTGCCACAACAAACTACAAATCCCAGGTTTCCATGGCATGGAGCCATGGCAGTTAAGGCAGTGTCGAACTGCATTAATTCTGCAGTGCGGATGCAGCCCTGGTTAATGAATTGTAACTTTGCACAACCAAATGCATAACACAATTGGCAATGTGTATCAGCACACAGAGAGTCAGTGTGCCCTCGTGGTCTGAGCTTAGGACTAGGACTCTGGAGATCAGGGTTCAATTCCCTGCTTAGCCATGGAAACCCGCTAGGTGACCTTGGGCAAGTCACATCCTCTCAGCCCCTGTAAGCCCCATGATAGGTTCTTCTTGTGGTCGCCATAAGTTGGAAATGACTTCAATGCACACAACAACAATAACAAATCACTACACAACTCTTATGCACAACCATGTGCTCATGCACATCAGTGCAGGAGCATGTATAATGGCAGCTTATGTGTGACTCCATTCCCATACCCTTGGACTGCATCCAGATGTTGCACACCAGACAAAATTATCCAAGTGCTTCTCCATGAGTAGGACGCCAACAGGATTCTGTCTGTTGCATGATTCAGGCCATGAATGAGTAGCCGAGAGTCAGAATAGCTGCAAAGAATGCAGCAGCTCAATGGAAGGGAGTTATTGGGATTGCAGAGTTGGGAGAGACCTCAAGGGTCATTGTCCAGCCCCCTGCCATGCAGGAATACCCTCACGTGCTCAAGAAATACGCTTCATCTGCAGGGGTTACATGAAGACCTAACAACATTTGGGACTCGAAATACATGGCAGTTCTAAGGGGTTCGCCCATCCTTTTCCTCCCCAGAGTTAACTGGGACTGTCCTAGAAGACTGTCCAGAAGCTCTAATAAGTAAAGAATACAGCTCTTGGCTCACCCAAAGATACTGGTTCTTGCTGTGGATCCAAAAACTCAAAAGGACCCAAATGCCCTTTGATTTTCCTTAAAAAGGTAGGAAGATAATCTAATGGAAGGCCTTGTTCTCACTTTGATTTAAAGCAAATTGAAGATCGGGTTATACGAGTGTCGTTCCCACTTGAAACAGGTTCCGATCCTATTGAGCTCAGTTGCGATTGTGATGAAGCGAGGCAAATGCAAAAAACCCACTGTTTCCTGACCCTAGTTCTTTGGTGGCTCTTTTCAAAAGAATTGATTCCAAAGTGTGTTCAACAAGTGGGAACGACGGATCTGAATTG